CCTTCTGTGCTGTCTTCCTAGAGCCCTTCCTGTCTCTGCTGTAAAAATTTCCTTAAATCTCCTGCTTAGCTCCTCACATACTTCCTGATCATTTCTTGTGAGTTCTCCACCTTCTGTACTCAGTCTGATCACCTGGTCTTTGACTGTTGTCTTCCTCCTGATGTGGCTATACAACAGTTTTGGGTCAGTCTTGACTTTCGATGCTATGTTGTTTTCATACTGTCGTTGGGTCTCCCGCTGTACCTGTGCATACTCGTTCCTGGCTCTGCAACTAATCTCCCTATTTTCATGTGTTCTCTGCCTTCTGTACTTTTTCCATTCTCTTTTGCACTTTTTTTGCCTCCTTACACCGTCGGGTAAACCAGGGGCTCGTTCTGGTCTTCCCATTGCTTCTGTTACCCTTGGGAATAAACCTTTCCACTGCCTCCTTGCATTTTGTTACATATTCCATCATTTCATTTACTAGCTTTCCTGCCAGTTCTCTGTCCCATGGAACCTCCTGCAGGAAGTTCCTCAAACCTATGTAGTCCCCTCTTTTTTAGTCTGGCTTTTCCCATTCAACTCCTGTTACTCTCTCCACTTGCAACTCTACTTTGTATTCAAAGCACAGAATCACGTGGTCACTAGATCCTAGGGGAATCTTATATGTGATGTCCTCAATGTCTGAACTGCCCAGGGTGAACACAAGGTCAAATCTTGCTGGTTCATCCTCCCCTCTCACTGGTAGTGTCCTTAACATGTTGGTGCATGAGGTTTTCCAGCACCACATCCAACATATTGGCTCTCTGTTTCGGGACCCCCATGTGGCTCCAGGTTTTCCCAGTCAATCTCCCTGTGGTTGAAATCACCCATAACCAGCAACTTTGCTCTGCTGGAGTGAGCTGTTCTTGCCACCTCAGCAAGTGTCCACCATTGCTCTGTTGCTCTCTTCATATTCCTCTCTTGGCCTCCTGCAGTTCTGTGGTGGATTACACATCACTGCAATGACCACCTTGTGCTCCCCAGACTGAAGTGTACCTACTATGTAGTCCCTTTCTCCTGTCTCGTCTATGCCTCCCATTTTCTCGAACTTCCATCGGTTTTTTTACGAGCAGAGCAACCCCTCCTTCCCCTCTATCTTTCCTCATGATCTGGTATCCTTGTGGGAAGATTGCATCTGTTATTGTCTGTGAGTTTTGTTTCTGTAACTGCTATGATATCTGGGGACTTCTCATTGATTCTTTCTTGCCATTCCTCATATTTATTAGTTAATCCATCCGCATTTGTGTACCAAACCTTCAACTTCTGTAACTGTGGTCCTGGGGAATACTGGGGTTGGGAGAGCAGGAGCCCTGGTGGGGGCCTGTGGGGGGTTGCAGTGGAGGTGAAGGAAGAGCTCCCATAGGGGGTTGCTGTAGGGATAGGGTTCGTGGTGCAGGGGGTGGGAACAGAGGGATCAGTGTGTGATGGTTTAGATTGTTCAGTTGTCTTGGGGGTGTTGTGGTTGGAGTCCTTCTGCAAGTGTTTCTGAGGGGTGTGCTTGCCCTTCCACCTGTGCCTGGGTTATTCTGCTCTTCTTTGTCATTTCCTCCCATTCCTCCTTTCGTTTTTGCACTCTTTCAGTATCATCCTTTCCTCCTGTGTTCTGTCTCGATCGAGGTACACACTCTTGAACTCCTGTTTGCCTCTCAGCCGTACTTTCTCCTGCAGGATCATGGTTTGAGTTGATTCTGCCTTGAAAATTACTGAGAGGCCGTTTCCTTCTCTTTGTGAACCACCCGATTCTCCGAAAATTTGCCACCTGGGTCATGTCTCCCTCGCCTGTGTGTGTGTGTGTGTGTGTGTGTGTGTGTGTGTGCGTGCGTGTTGCGTGCGTGTGCGCGTGCGTGTGCGCACACACACACACACACACACACACACACACACACGTGTCTAACAGTTACCCCTCGCTAGCTATGCAACTTCCCTCTCCTCACACTATGCTGTTTCTACTTTAATTCCCGTAATAGCTTGCAGGAGTGACCAGTATCTTACAGTGATGCAAAGACCAGAATCTGACAACATGCAACCACAATAAATGAGAAGGACTTGCGATGTGGCAGCGGGGTGATGACAAGTTGCCAGATGCTGATATTGTTGTCGTACATTTAGGCCTTGTATCACTATTTTGAAAATCCTTCACCCGTGATAGTTATAACCATTCATGCTCATACATCCCGCATTCCTCAAGGGTTTTCACTTATGGTAGAATACACTTCACATTCGGTGAGCTACACTTTATATTTATAATGGCACACAATCTGTTATGACATCACTGCTTCAAGAAGGCCTACTCGTGCCACCTTCCCTAGTTATATATTTTTTATCTCCCTTTACTTGTTAACTTTTTCACTCTCACTGTATGCTGCTCCACATTTCACTTATTAACCCACCTCTCGTAATTCTTGAACACCCACTTTCACACTCGCTTATCTTTGTATATTTGTAACTGTGTGGGAACAGGTGCCTACTAGGCCCCTAACGATTTGGCACTTTGAAGTTTTGTTGAATGATTTCAGGCTTCCTCTCGACTTTTTTAACCAATAACTTTATCACTTTTAGGGTTGTCACTACCACTGGTTTCTGCTAGCAGCTAATTACTCCTTAAAAACACTAAGGTTCTCGGAGCCTTGTGACCCTACGTCTGCGTGGGTTGATTCACAGCTCCTGTGTGCATGCTTGTGAGTGCGTGCCTGCCTGTAGGAGTTGACTCATAGCACATGGACCTGCCAGTTAACTCTTGTCTGATTTTATTGATTCCTGGCCTGGCCTTCAAGGTTGCTTCCCGCTTCTAAAATAAAAATGTGTTTGATGGCTTCCACCACATGTCTAAACGATTCTTCCACTTATATTTTATGTCGTGCCTATGGCTTATCATCCATCCATTCCATCAAGGTTCCATTGCTTTCTCTAATCCTATCTTATACTACCTCTCAGCTACATTATCTAGTGTCTTAGAATTTAGAATCGTAAGCATGTCCTCCTTAGGTCTTAACTGTCTCCGTAGTTCATTTCTGTCTCCTGCATCAACCCTGTATCCAATATGTTAACATTTGCAAGCATCTTGGAGTCGTCCTCACGATGCTTGTGGCTGGGAGATGTAACTGTATAAAATGACCATATTCTGAGTATTGTGGCCACTTTAGTTTATCAACGTTCCAAGTTCACATTCTACAACGTTCCAAGTTCACTATTCTACAACGTTCCAAGTTCACATTCTACAACGTTCCAAGTTCACATTCTACAACGTTCCAAGTTCACATTCTACAACGTTCCAAGTTCACATTCTACAACGTTCCAAGTTCTGTTAAGTTCATATAATAAAAATCCCACATAAGCAACTCTCGTTGTGTTCAACTTAGTCTTAATTTTCAGAATTTTTTCATTAGGGTGAACTATTTTCTGCAACTTTTCAGGAAGTTTTCAAATCATTCATGGAAAAGAAGTATTTTTAAGACAAATACATTTAATTTCAGTTAATTATAATAAGAATAAAGTTTGTTATTTTTTTTTTGCAAGGTATACAGACCATAGCTGACATCAGTGACATACTACTATATAGAAAGCCGCTTGTTGTACCTGGAGAGGGTTTCAGGGGTCAACGCTCCCGCGGTCCGGTTTCTGACCAGACCTCGTAGTGCATCCGGGCCTGATCAACCAGGCTGTTACTGCTGGCAGCACATAAACCGACGTACGAACCACAGTTCAGCTGGTCAGGTACTGACTTCAGGTGCCTGTCCAGCACCTTCTTGAAGACAGTCAGGGGTCTATTGGTAATCCCCCTTATGTATGCTGGGAGGCAGTTGAACAGTCTTGGGGCCCGGACACTTACTGTTTTGTCCCTCAACGTACTCGTGGCGCCCCTGCTTGTCATCAGGGGAATGTTGTATCTCCTGGCCAGTGTTTTGTTTCCTTAGTGATTTTCGTGTGCAAATTTTGGACTAGTCCCTCTAGGCTTTTTCCAAGTGTATATTATCATGTATCTTTCTCGCCTGCATTCCAGGGAATACAAATCAAGGGAGTTCAACTGTTCCCAGTAAGTTAGGTGCTTTATTGTACTTGTGAAAGTTCTTTACATTCTACAGGTCAGCAATTTCGCCAGCCTTGAAAGGGGCAGTTAGTGTACAGCAATATTCCAGCCTACAAAAACAAGCTTTTTAAAGAGAATCATCATGGGCTTGGCGTCCATAGTTTTGAAGGTTGTCATTTTCCATCCTGTCATTTTCCTTAGAGATATATTAGATATATTGTTGTGATCTTTAAAAGTGAGATTCTCTGAATTATCGCTTCCAGGTTGTTCACATTAGTTTCGCTCCATTGTGTGGTTGAAATTTGCTTTATACTCCGAAAATGTTTAAATTTTCTCGAGTTTTCCATGTCGGAGTAATTAATATTTCTCTTCACGCAGAGCATTTTGGCCAAATTAAGTAAATTTTGTCCCAAGATGCGACCCACACCAGTCGACTAACACCCAGGTATCTGTTTAACTGATAAGTGAACAGGGACAGCAGGTGTCTTAAGGAAACACGTCCTATTGTTTCCACCCGTACCGGGGATCGACCCCGGACCTCAGTGTGTCAGCTGAGTGAGTTAGCGATCGAGCTACGGGATAGCTTACGATGTTTTCTGTATTAAACTTTTTATGTACAACTGAGTTATAATATTAGGAGTAATGATCTAAAGTACTTCAAGTTAGTTACCCATTAATTAGATTCAAATTAATTCTTTTTGAGGCCACTTACTATTGGCAATCATTGTAGTTTAAGGAGCCTGTTGCAGCCCCTGTTTGTCCTACATCTGCTGCATTACATATGCAGGAAATTACATATGTAGTATTATAGATGTAGGAAGTATGCTCAGTAATTTTAAGAGGTGTTAGCGTGAGCCACCACATGATGTGGGTTTTTATGAAAGAATTATTCAGTAAGCAAGAGGGAATATTTGAGTGAACCGTCCGTGATGTGCTGTGGTTCCCTCAACAGGACAGACACCCCTGCACTACGCTGTGGACAACCAGGAGGTAGACTTAGCCATCACACTTCTCAATCATGGTGCTGAAACTAATGCTGCTGACAACAATGGTAAGAAGTCACTTGCAGTGTTATTGAATTTTATGGCTTTAGTTGTTAGTGTAAGAGTGAATATTCATCGAATGTTATACTTTATATGCATGGTATGCGGTGGGAGACTGGGATATGCTATTCAGGAAAGGGAAGATAAAGAGGATATGTACCTACTGAAGGAAGTGAGAGGCACATGTGTTACATAAACGTGATATTCGCCGCCTTGGAAAGGGGGCGAAGAGGATATGTATAAAAAAAATAATGGAAGAGGGCTGTGTGTGTCTGTTAAGATGACATGTGTTTGATAAATATCTTGTACACAATATCTTGTACACAATATCTTGTACACAATATCTTGTACACAATACCGATAGATGAAAATTAGATACATGAGCAACATCTGGGCATCTTTATTGTAGACGTTTCGCCCTCCAGTGACTTTATCAATACAAATTCCAGGATATGAATGGAAGACAGAGATATATTCAAAAGATGAGGTATTTATTATAATCAAAAAGAAGTGCTAAGCCACAAGGGTCATACAGCGCAGCAGGGCAAGGAAGGATGCAGGGGTAATGGGTAGCAAGAGGGAGAGGGATGATTATTAGGTTATGAAGTGCAGCGGGGTAGAGGATAGCTATAGATTAAGGTAGAAAGGGCTGAGGAGAGTGCTAGAGGCATCATCGTCAGAGTTTGTGTAGTAAATCGGTCGCTGTCAATAAGTCAGTGAGAGAATCCGGATTAAAGGAGGGTCCATCAGCAAGAAGGGAAAGTAAAGGAAGGGCAGCAGAGCGGAGACGACATTGGAAGTAAATTCTGCATGCTCTTTGATGGAGTGGGCAGTCCAACAGAATGTGGCTAACAGATACTGGAACTTGACAATTCTCCCAGAGAAGAATATGAAGCCTTTCCATGAGATACCCATGAGTAAGACGAGTGTGGCCGATGCAAAGACGGGAGAGAGTAGTCTCCCAACCTCGACAATGATGACAAGATAACGGCCAGAAACCCATAATCGGTTTAACAGAATGAAGATTGTTATGCAGCGGATCAGGCCAACGTTGTTGCCAAAGGGTGCGAAGATGGGTAACAATTACAGCAAAATAGTCAGTGAATGGGACACCTCTATATGATATCATCTCTGTATATGCGAGAGATAGTGTAACCAAAGTTGGATACGAAGAACTAGGGGGTGAGGTGTACAATTTCCGTACAGCCTCTTGTTACAAAATTCATCTTCTTAAACTTCTCCAAAGCATGGTAGAGAGTTAAAGTAGTTTATTCTCGTTTAACAGTTGGCCTGTTTACGGTTTCATAACAAGAAATTGTAACAATGATTCGGAATTGCAAAACAAACAACTAAAATTTAAAATCTTGACTAGTAAAGTTTAGCTGTATATATACTTATATAATGTTAGGACATTGGCCATAAAATGAGAAGTCTAACTCCTACACTTCTCTTGGTACGTACATTATATAAGATCGACACCATGCCTAACCCTTCTAGGGTAGGGTAGGTGCCTGAGCCCGAGCCTTTAGCTCATAAGACTGTCATTCCCATTTGCCCCCTTGGGGCGGGGATGGCAGACCAGAGAGGCCTAGCTTGTGGCTAGGCCTGGGGACAGTTAGTCCCAAAGATGAGGAGGTGCTTGTGCCTCCTCCCATGGGAGACTTAGGTCTCAGACACTCCCTAGAGAGGGAGCCAAGGCCGGGCCACCACTTGGAAAAGGCCCGGGCCGGGAGAATACCGGCTAATCTTTAATAATAATACATTATATAACTTCATTAACCATAAAGATCCAGTTCAACCAGTATATTAATATGGATAAATCAGCCTCATAAGTTCAGACTTTGTACTATCTTCACCAATTATGTCAACCACAAGATAACCTACAATGGTTACTAAGACTTGGCTGAACTATTAATTCACCAGAGTATGCAAGAACTCGAATGTGACAGACTTAAGAGAGGAAATCAATTAAGAAAGGAAAACGATCACCGGAGAGAGAACTTGTGTTCTTTATGAGAGGTCAGCGGGTAACTGAGTGAGGTATGTTCCCTTGACTCGATTCAGGCCACGACTGCCTTGAGTCCATTCCTCCAACCCTTACAATACCTCGTAACACCCGTACTTCATTGGCAGTGCGAGGGACCGCCAGACACTAGCAACCTAACTACAGGTAGCCAGGTTGTTACAGTGATGTGCCTAAAACTTAGAATAAACATTATACCTATCCACCGTAGCTAACAATATAGGGGAGATAATTCTACACGTGGAATTTACCTGGAGAGAGTTCCGGGGGGTCAACGCCCCCGGTGCCCGGTCTGTGACCAGGCCTCCTGGTGGATCAGAGCCTGATCAACCAGGCTGTTGCTGCTGGCTGCACGCAAACCAACGTACGAGCCACAGCCCGGCTGGTCAGCAACTGACTTTAGGTGCTTGTCCAGTGCCATCTTGAAGACTGCCAGGGGTCTGTTGGTAATCCCCCTTATGTATGCTGGGAGGCAGTTGAACAGTCTCGGGCCCCTGACACTTATTGTATGGTCTCTCAACGTGCTAGTGACACCCCTGCTTTTCATTGGGGGGATGTTGCATCGTCTGCCAAGTCTTTTTCTTTCGTAGTGAGTGATTTTCGTGTGCAAGTTCGGTACTAGTCCCTCTAGGATTTTCCAGGTGTATATAATCATGTATCTCTCCCTCCTGCGTTCCAGGGAATACAGGTTCAGGAACCTCAAGCGCCGTGAAGCGCGCCGTGAAGGTTCTCTGTATATTTTCTAGGTAAGCAATTTCACCTGCCTTGAAAGGTGCTGTTAGTGTGCAGCAATATTCCAGCCTAGATAGAACAAGTGACCTGAAGTGTCATCATGGGCTTGGCCTCCCTAGTTTTGAAGGTTCTCATTATCCATCCTGTCATTTCTCTAGCAGATGCGATTGATACAATGTTATGGTCCTTGAAGGTGAGATCCTCCGACATGATCTCTCCCAGGTCTTTGACGTTGGTGTTTCGCTCTATTTTGTGGCCAGAATTTGTTTTGTACTCTGATGAAGATTTAATTTCCTCGTGTTTACCATATCTGAGTAATTGAAATTTCTCATCGTTGAACTTCATATAGTTTTCTGCAGCCCACTGAAAGATTTGGTTGATGTCCGCCTGGAGCTTTGCAGTGTCTGCAATGGAAGACACTGTCATGCAGATTCGGGTGTCATCTGCGAAGGAAGATACGGTGCTGTGGCTGACATCCTTGTCTGTCACACATGAGGATGAACAAGATGGGAGCGAGTACTGTGCCTTGTGGAAATTATAGATCCATCGACCGACTTTTCCTGTTATTCCTTTAGCACGCATTTTGTGCGCTATTACGCCATGGTCACACTTGTCGAAGGCTTTTGCAAAGTCTGTATATATTACATCTGCATTTTTTTTGTCTTCTAGTGCATCTAGGACCTTGTCTTAGTGATTCAATAGTTGAGACAGACAGGAGCGACCTGTTCTAAACCCATGTTGCCCTGGGTTGTGTAATTGATGAGTTTCTAGATGGGTGGTGATCTTGCTTCTTAGGACCCTTTCAAAGATTTTTATGATATGGGATGTTAGTGCTATTGGTCTGTAGTTCTTTGCTATTGCTTTACTGCCCCCTTTGTGGAGTGGGGCTATGTCTGTTGTTTTCAGTAACTGTGGGACGACCTCCGTGTCCATGCTCCCTCTCCATAGGATGGTAAAAGCTCGTGATAGGGGCTTCTTGCAGTTCTTGATGAACACGGAGTTCCACGAGTCTGGCCCTGGGGCAGAGTGCATGGGCACGTCATTTATCGCCTGTTCGAAGTCATTTGGCGTCAGGATAACATCAGATAGGCTTGTGTTAACCAAATTCTGTGGCTCTCTCATAAAAAATTCATTTTGATCTTCGACTCTGTCTGGTTAGTGGCTTGCTTAAAACTGAGTCATATTGGGACTTGAGTAGCTCACTCATTTCCTTGCTATCTTCTGTGTAGGACCCATCTTGTTTAAGTAGGGGCCCAATACTGGACGTTGTTCTCGACTTAGATTTGGCATAGGAGAAGAAATACTTTGGGTTTCTTTCGATTTCATTTATGGCTTTTAGTTCTTCCCGCGATTCCTGACTCCTATAAGATTCCTTTAGCTTAAGTTCGATGCTTGCTATTTCTCTGACCAGTGTCTCCCTACGCATTTCAGATATATTGGCCTCTTTTAGCCGCTCTGTTATTCTTTTTCGTCGCCTGTAAAGGGAGCGCCTGTCTCTTTCTATTTTACATCTACTCCTCCTTTTTCTTAGAGGAATAAGTCTTGTGCATACATCGAGTGCCACAGAGTTAATCTGTTCTAGGCATAAGTTGGGGTCTGTGTTGCTTAATATATCTTCCCAGCTTATATCGGTTAGGACTTGGTTTACTTGGTCCCACTTTGTTTTTGTTATTGAAGTTGAATTTGGTGAATGATCCCTCGTGACTAATCTCGTATCGATCTGGGGCTCCGCGCATACATGTCTGAACCTCAATTTTGTTGTGATCTGAGTATATTGTTTTTGATATGTTGACATTAGGTATCAGATCATCATTGTTAGTGAAGATGAGGTCTAGTGTATTCTCCAGTCTAGTAGGCTCTATTATTTGCTGGTTTAAATTGAATTTTGTGCAGAGATTTAAAAGCTCGTGTGAGTGTGAGTTTTCAGCAGAGCTGCCTCCTGGTGTTATTACTGCAACAATATTATTTGCTATATTCCTCCATTTTAGGTGCCTTAAGTTGAAATCCCCCAGGAGCAAGATGTTGGGTGCAGGAGCTGGAAGATTTTCCAGACAGTGGTCAATTTTTAACAGCTGTTCCTGGAATTGCTGGGATGTTGCATCCGGAGGCTTGTAGACTACCACAATGACTAGGTTTTGGTTCACGATCTTTGCTGCTAAAACTTCCACTACATCATTTGAAGCATTTAGCAGTTCTGTGCAAACAAGTGACTCTGCAATGTACAGGCCAACTCCCCCCCCCCTTTTTTTTGCC